CAAAAATACTATTTTTTTTTCATACACTATCGAGAAGTAACGATCCAACGAGAAAAATAAATAAATTTAAATAGGTTGTGGTAATAAAAAGTAATAAAATGAATTAACAATATAGAAAGTACAGATTAAATAGATGGATAGCTGAGATCATATTTTTCTTAACGTACTTTTCCGGTGCTTTTAAATAAGTAACTTATTTCGCTTCAAAGTTCTTCCCAATATAATTATTGTGCATGTTATTTTTATATAATTAAAGTCCATTTTAAAATAGTTTTAGTTCTTAAAAGTTGGTAGGAGTTGTTGGAAAATCTTTTACCTTAAGTACTAAAACAATCTCAAGAGATTTGATCTAAGTTTGAGATTTTTTATCTACTTTTGTTTTAGGAAACTAACAACTCTTTAAATTTAAAGTTTGTTTCGAATTTGCAAAAACATTTTTTTTCCAATTCCAAAAATGACATATTATAATTAATAGGATAACGCACTCATTCATGTGATATTTATGCAAAGAGAGGTTTTCGCTTATATTTTGTAATGAAATAGCATTTTGATGTAAACAAAATATTAAATTTATTTTCTCAAATACAAATTTAGTGATAACAGATAATTTTTTCACTGTGATTATTTAAGGCATTAAAATGAAATTTGAACTCTTACTACAATTAAAAAAATTAAACTATAAGTCAAAAAATATAGAAGTTTGCATCGAAATGTTATTTTATATCTATAATCTTTTACATAAGGCTTCGTCACTAAATTATAATAATCCTGTGATAGGTAATACCAGTTCATGTTTGTGTTTGCTTGAAAAATTATTGTAAAATGGGTAAAATAATGATATTTAATGGTTTTTCAAGCAACATAGTCGGTGCAGAATGTCACTTGCCTTGTAAGTAGTAGAAGTGGGAGCTTGTTAGGGACAGCTAGGCTGTGCTACAAATGTTTCTTCAATAAACTATCATAAGTTACAAAATGAAGTTTCATTTCTAAACCCATTATTATGTTCGAACTCATTTAGTTTTTAGGTATTTTTTATAGGAAAAGGGATAAATAAGTGAACGATTCACTTTAAATATTATACGCATTTTTTTTAATTATTTCACATTTGACAGGCGTTGGATTTGAACCAATACGATAAATTGTCAAACCAAAAATTACTAAAATAAGTGAGGTAGTTTTAATTAGAACCATGTTCAATATTGTTTACAGAAGAAAAAAATCTTGAGTAGGACATCCACTAAAATTGTAAAAAATATTCTTTTAAATAATTTTAATATACATAAATACAAAAGATTCGTTTGTGATAGGTATATAAATAAAAACACTAGTTAAAATTTTTCGAAAACTTTATTTAAAAAAAAATATTGTTTACAAAGTACATAGTCATAGAGACGTTAACAAGATACTATTCATTAATTATAATTCAATAAATGATCTTAAACTAACACTCAAGCACTCTGCGAAAACGCGCCGCATACAATGAAAACTAGCTTTTGGTATAAAATGCAGACAAACGAACGGGCGCGTATTTCGATATACACACGCATGCAAAAATATAACTAATAATTCATTTGCGACAATTTCAACTTATATTAAAAGGGGTTAGAACCTTTCTGGCATTGTCAAAATTCCGCCATTTTTTATTTTGCACAAGTTAAACTATTTTAAATTAATAAAAGACATTTATGAACATGAAACCTATGACAATCATTAAAAATTAACTAATTTCTTAACAAAAGTGAATTTCCAATGGTGCATGGTAGTAGTACTCTATCCATAGACTAAAGTTTCTATAATATATGTGGTCGAATAAAGAACACTTCAATATTTTGATAATGGTCAATTTTGATTGAGAAATAAAAAGGGATTTGAAAGCAAATGGATTTTTACCAATAATTATCCAAATATTTCAGTTTCATAGTGCGTTACTATTGAGAAAAAATAAATTAAAATGGCGACGTATGTCTAAAACTGCCATAGAAAAATGTTCCAAGCCCTTTTCAATCGGTTTTTTCCTGCAATATTTCTTATAATAAGTATATTTAATTTAAATAAAATGGAGATGAAATATAAAAATATATCCACTATGTTCATGCACTAACTGCGCCTGCGCAAATGGCGGTTCGTGCAATTGACGCATGCGTGGATAGTGGTTATTTTACTGCGGTTCCTAATAATCATATTTGTGTTTTCCTTATTTGCAATAAGAATTTGACAATTTGTACGAAACTTATATCAAAATGTCAATAATCTGTATTAAGGAAAACTTCAGATAGGTTATTAAAATCCGCCATTAGTGTGTAAATATCGCAAATGAACTCATGTTATTTCAAAATAATCGTATCATTCAGAAGATTGCTCGTACATTGTAATTGTTCAATAATATTAAATAATGGTAAAATTATTCTACTTAATTATGTATAAGACTACAATGAACTATGGGCGTGTTCAGTGATGCAACTGTTGCTAACAAATTTGATTATTCAAATACATAAACGTACATATTGAAAGCCTAACAACCTCTAGAAATTAAAAATAATTTTACATAAATAGAAATATTTATAACTTTCTCAGATATGAAATATAAGTAAAAATATGTTTATTATATATCAGATATGTATATAAAATATTACATAAAAGTAGTATTATTAAAAATTAATTTTTTTTATAAATATGGGTAAGGCCACTTTTGTACTGGCTAGTTTTAGCAGCCTGATATTTTATTTTTAAATTTAGGAAAATATCACTTAGTTACAGTTGCATATAATATAAACCAGCCCGTGATAGTTTGTAGTGATCGAGTCTCGAACTCTGTCCTTATACGACTATGAAATACCTAAAAACGGCTCATAAGATGAACATTTACATTTTATACTGAAATACAAGACCACAGATATATTTTTTTATTATATTTTTTTATCATTGGTTATAATTGGACATCTTTCTATTTAAATGCAATTTTCTTATATAGCCAATAACTGAATTTAAAAAGAAGGACACAGAATCTCCTCATTTTTAGTCAATTGAAAAAAGTTTCTAAAGTATTATTATCATACTAAAACGTTTAGCTACATATATTGTACATTACTTATCTGTGGTCATTAAAAGTTGTTACATGCGATCGGTTTTGAAATACTGATAGTAATTTAGGAACTAATAATAACTATTGTCGCATTTTTAATTCCAAAATTATACAATAGAGCGCGCAGAAAGAACCCAGCATACCATAGACAAACCTCTTTATCACAGTTCTAGAAATGCACCAAAAACTAACCTCGATCCAAATTAATACTTTAAAAATACATAAAAATGAAAAATTGAGAAAAAAAATATTAGTGCAGTGTACACTGTACACATATTATGTAAGTAATTAAAAAAAATCCATATAAAATGGTAACATATACTCATAGCTATTCACCAATTTAAATTTAAAAAAATGTTCATATTTTTAAAGTACTATTGAAATATCGGTTAATGCATTATCAGTTGCAATAAAGCTAAGTGCGAACATGGCTTAATCTTATCATCTATGTCTTACGAAAGTAACGAGATTGTCTATGGCCCATCATGGAGGCTAACATTTTGTTTTTAGTACCGAGGGGAATATATCTTTATAGTAGCAATAACTAAAAATTGACACGTCATATAATATAAAAATTTTGTTTGCGGATTTTATACTATTGCTTTTCAAAATTGACAAAAATATTTTTTATTTAATTTAAGAGTAATTCAAAGTTAGCCTCCATCATTTTTTTCACTGGTAAAACTAGAAGTGCTCAGAGTTTCCTATACCGCCGAAATAGAAAAATAAATAATTGTTATTCAATAAAATACTTAATTATAAAACGTTAAGAAATCTTGTAGTTCTATATTTGGTCCCGAAAAATAGTATATAAATCATTTCCAATTGCATAATATCGTATAAGTACTTAAAACCAAACTTTATAAAATAATATGTATTTATTTCAGAGTTACGATTCTTCATATTTTTCAAAAGTTAGAATAAAAAAAAGCGGGTATAAAAATTATTCTGTTGATTTTTTAGATGTTACAGTAACACTGTACTATTATAAAAATGTCTAGTTTAGATGACAACTACAAGATTTCTTCATCCTAATACTTAACGTAGCATTGAGTCGGGTTTCCAACTTTGTGATATCATGTCCGTTGCGCGAGCCGGTACGTTATAAATAAATCACAATCGTTATATTAACAGCCTTTTTTTGTTTTTTTTTTCATAGACAAAGCTATAAAAATTCAAAGAGTCTAGCTTTACCTATGCTTTTTTGTGTGCCTTTAAACCAATTTGAAAATTTTTTGAAGTACCTATCTTGCTTTATATTTTCTCCATTTTAAAATTAAGCAAGATGGTTGCAAAGGCTTTATCGTCAATGTGTTGATTCAATGTTTTAAATAACTTCAAAACGAATAAATCAAATGTTCTCGATTTAACATTTTTATTTTATTTTTTTATAACAATTTAAATCAGTCTGCAATTTTTCAGTAGATGCACCTATAAATTGTATATTTTTAAAAATTAGGTATTTACTTGGTAAAAATTATATTTTTGTGTTTTAGGATTTTTTTTTTATAAATGCAGTAAAATGACGAATTATATGAGTTACTCACATAGGAGTCAGGTAAATTCACATATTACAAAAATATGCTTAAAATTCAATTAATCGAATTGTAAGCTAATAAATTTTACCAAATGTTTTTTTTTTTTAATTTTGAGATTCTGAACGTTGCAATAGTTAATCAAAACAACCTGTATGAAGCAAAAGTAAAATTACGGCAAAATTTGCTACTGGCTTCAGTCGTTTCACATTCTCACCACTAGATGGCGGTGTTTGCCACACTGAACAATATCAATGCTATTACATAGCTATACAATTTCAATTACTAGATGGCGTTAGTTGTTTTACAACTTAACCAATAGATGGCGGTGCACAATACTTGGTTGTTTGTCTTATGAATTAAAGTAGCTTTCTTACATTTCACGCTTTCTCCTCGTTTAATGGTTGTTCCTCGTGTTTCGGTGTTGGAGAAGATGGAGAATTCCACGGTTGAAGTTCTCCGGAGCCGAAAATAACGAAAACGAGGGACCCACACACGTACGTGCCGGCGAGAATGAAAAACACGATTTGCCACTGTTCGTATGTGTTCTGAAATGAAATGATTTGTTTAAAATAAGTAATTTCTGTTAGGACGTATTTCATATCTTTTGAGTTTCCCGAATATGATTGTCGTTAAAATTTTAAAAAATGTTAAAAAACAAACTTCGATAATTGAGTTACAAATATGGAAAAATGATTAAGTTAATAGAAAAAATCTTAAACAATGAATTATTGGATACAATTGTCAATATAAAATAACTTACATGTTCCTTGGTTAATTCGCCAACCATGTATGTTGAAAGCCAGCCGCCGAATGAAGATAGAGTATTTGCGATACCGAAGATAGTTCCTGTAAACAAAATATATTTTTTAAATTTTTTTAAATTCATTCACTGACTAACTGTCTTGAACCCGCAGCCTAAGCCTAGGTCTAGGTATGATTTTTTAATAGAGTTTTTAAATAAAATTATTTTACAGATTTTATCGCAGATTTTATTGCGAAGGCAGTTTTACAGCAAATATGGTCACGGAAATGACTGGAAAACATCACGAACAAAAATAAAAATAAAACATCCAATAAATATCCGAGAAAATCGTTTTATTAATAAAGTATAATCTTATTGCAAATCCAACCACAGAAAAATAATATTTATATACATGTTTATAATAGAACAAATATATTTTTTTTTAATTTTTACATACTTAAAACACAACACTGCCGTCATAAAAAAGGCCGAAACTTCGTCAAAGTTGATTTCGAGATATTTGATTTTTTTCTTACTACTACGTCAAAATTACTACTAGTTTTGACTTAGTTACGATGAAAATGGTTATGGTATCTCGGTATTCATAAGACTTAGAGCTTTATGAGTAAGACTATCAAGTAGCATTTTTTTGCTAATTCCGAATTTGCGTTTAAGTCATTTTTGACCAAATTGCTAACAATTAAAAAAAAAACAATAAAAAATTGGACAAATTTAAAAATTCCTTTTTTCAACGTATACCGCACGAGCGGAGTCGCGGACAAAACCTAGTATTTAATACTTTCGCCAGACCTTATACCCTATATCCATAATTCCCTGTTACGAAGAATCAATTATCAAAACAAAGGACAAATAAGACTTACCACTGAATTTAGGAGCGATATCCAATCCGTTGCCGAGGTAGCCGGCGGTGACCGCGCCATTGATGGTCAGCGCGAGGGTGAAGATGGCGATGGACCAGATCCTGTCGTGGCCGAAGAAGGCTTGGGCTAACATCATTAGACCTGTGGAGAAGAATTTGTTTATAATTTATGATGTGCGTAATTATTTCTAGCATGTCTAGTTATAGGCCAATCTCATACATACAATTAAGCTAACAATATAAAAACAAAATGATTACAACCATTTTTCAGGATAGTAACAATGTAATGATGACAAGGCTTATATATATATATATATATATATATATATATATATATATATATATATATATATATATATATATATATATATATATATATATATATATATATATATATATATATATATATATATATATATTATCTAATCAAACTATATATATATAAATTCTAACACTTTTCTATCCGTATCCTTCTGCACGTTGAATTTAGAAATATGTATGTAAATATTACTTCAATACCAAACAGTCTACAGGTACATATATTAAAAGTGTCACTGATCGCTGTCTGTACATGGAAGATATTTGGGAAAAACTATAATTGGGGCTTTTGTTAACGAAATAGAACCCAAAACAATTACTTTTACAATTTTTGTCTGTTTGTGTGTGCGTTTGTGCGCGCTAATCTTAGAAACGACTTAACCGTTAAGGGTGCGGTTTTCATTATCGTATTGTGGTAAGCTTCACTAGCATTTAAATTATCTTTTATTTCAATCAGTTCATACATAAAAATCCTAAGAACGATCCCGAATGAAATGAGGGTGAATCGCTAGTTTACAATATCTACATACTTATAACAAAAAAAAACTGTTTCTTTTAAACTTTCAAAATGCTAATCACTCTTATAACTAAAACAAACTAAGTCTATAATAGATCATAACTAAGAAACCTTACCAGGTAACCCAACAGCAAATCCAGTGAAAAGTTTTCTTGCGGCGGTGGTCGAGAGGCGTCCGGTGCGGCGAAGAGAGTCAGCCAGGACGGATGAGGCCAATGCACATAGATACTTTCCGAGATACGGCAGAGATGAGAGCAGACCGTTCTGTTGGAGAGAAGTGATGCTTCATTGTAATACGTATATTTATTATAATAATTATTGTTTACTAGAAAGGTAAGACGACTTCAAAGTTGAGTCTCGTCGTGAAGTCGGCCAAATAATATGCCCTATAAGGTTTACACATGAGCTTAGCCCTTAAAGGATATTTTTTTATCTTTCCTTGTGTCTACTTTCCACATTATAGGAAACTCCTTTACTAAGTTTTTCTTAAATAACGATAAAAAATTACAGTATTTTTTTTATTTGATCTGCTATATTAATTCCTACCCAGATGGATCAACAAATACCAAAATTAAACATATTAAACATTAAAACATACTTAAAATTATACTAAAAATAAAAACTGATTAAATATATCGCTATTAAAACACAAAATAATCTATACAGGACGCCACAGCGGTCAATCGTTTAAAAATTAAAAAAAAAAGGTAGCTTACAGACTAAGTTAAGCGTAATGTTATAAACAGCACTATAAATAGATTGGAATGCATTGGAAATAGCCACTATATAAATGGAATTCGCGTCGGGCGCCAGCTTCTTTTTATTCAATATTACCTGGATGCGGTAAATGCTATGTAACAGCATTCCGGGCAACAACCCCGTGTTATTTATATTTTATATGATTACAGCAGTACTGCTGTAGTAAGATTTTATTTCAAAGACTTTTTGTTATACTTTTTGGTATTAAAAATGAAATAACGTTGATTGACTTCATTTGAGAACGGCCAGACAGACAGATTTGGCTAATTTTTATTTTAAAGTGTTCATAATCTTCGGAATAAGGTTTTAGGAGATATAAGAAAGAACATACACATACAATGTGGGAAATTTGGAAAAGTGCGTTTTTCCCATATAGGATTCTATAGCATACAATACATATACTACTATGAACTCAAAGATACCAAACTTGAAAATTTATTGAATTTTGGACAGAAATTTTGAACATGTGAGAACATGTTTAAAATACAATCACAAAGATAAGAAATATAATAATAAATAACGATTATGCCAACGCAGTATTAACAATAAAACGTGCGGTAAACTAACCATAACCAATTTGTTGTTTTTTAACTTATTTTCAGTAAAAAACCTTCTATATTGTATCGTCCGCTAAAATCCGGTTTTTCCACGCCAATTAAAACAATTGATAGTCGTACGATGACTTCGGAAAGTCATCGGAATCTTCCTAGGTTGTTAGCCTACTGAGAATTTAATTTCGACACTGTAAGAACAATTTAAAATTAAATACATAACTTTTTGTCCCAAATAATACATTTGAAATGGATGCTGCAATGATATTTTTTATTATAAAATACCTGCCTACGAAGTAATATAAGTTTTTCAATGATGAAAATGAGTCATCATACCTATTGTGTGGAAAATTTTGTATAATTTAATAGTAATAACTTTATAAAAGATTTTTGCCTCTTCCGCTTGTGGAAATCGGCAGATTATTGAATGGCACACTTTTCGTGATCTAAGTTTGACGAAGTTATCTAAGTTTTTACAATAAGAATCGATAAAAATATTATAAAATTAAATCTATACATATAATAAAATTGTAACTAATCCGAATCTGTACATTAAATATTTTTTGGAAAATCTTATTGAAATAGACATTATCGATACAGAGGCCGAATTTATAATTTTTAGAATTTTTGTCTGTCTGTCTGTCTTTCTGTCTGTCTGTTACCGCATCACGGAAAAACCACTGGAGGGATTTTGATAAAACTTGGTATGGTGATAGCTGGATATCCGGGTCAACATATAGAATACTTTTTACCACGAGAAAATATCTCATTTCTGAAAAAAATACAAAAACTGCAATCTAAGAGTATACTAATATGTAAAACCAGATGATGAGAGATGAGAATTTGGTTTTTGGTCATCTAAACGCGGGCGGAGCCGCAGGCAATGTTAGTTAATACATATAAAAATACTGCATCAAAATCTTATAAAAAATTGTGCCAGACAAATAATGGCCTTCACATGCTTCCGTCAAGATAAGCCCATTTAATTAACTTTGCATGTCATATTACAAATAGGTACTATTTACCATGTCCAAACCGAATTATAATTCAAGGACGATCATTATATTATATTACGATCTTACTTACACAAAGCTAGTGTTCGAAATAAAAACCATAAAAAACAATATTATCTAGCAACTCACAACTCCTTTGATTAAATTTTTAAAAATATAAAAAAAAATATTTGTATTGAAACAACATAAACAGTGTTTTTGTAGGCAACTCTTTTTACTTGTATTATCATCAGTGGAATATTGTTAAGTCTAAAATATATTATTAATCTGTTTGTTACTTTTTTTTTTGGATTTTTTATTGTGACTTTTGGTTCCCGACGTTTCGAATGATTTACACCAAACTTGGTCAGGGTCTCTCCCGTGAAATCCGAAAAACTTTTATTTCAAATGTCAAATATTCGCGTATATCTTAGAAATTCGTTGTTACTTTCTGCTCTATACCTCTATAAGGTAACAGGGACAACGACTAAGAGGAGTTCGATGACAACGAAAGAAGTGGCACGATAAAGTAACGAGTATAAAGATTTTCATTAGACATTACTTAATAATTATGATTTTATACACACGCTAAGAAAACTCGGTAGGAGTTTCTACATTGCAAAAATATTACCGCTTGATTTTTGAATGGAAAATTTACAAAGCGTGTCACGTTATTTAACTAAGCAATTTTTCATATTATACAGCGATGCGATAAATGCGCCTAAACGAGAATTCAAATAGAATAATAGAAAATTAACAACTTATATGAAAATTAGTTAAAATAATATCAAAATATTTCGCGATAATTTGAAAATGGAGAATTGGCTCCGTAGCAAGAATATTAAAACTCTTTAAATCCGAAGAAACAGTTTAACCTATTTGGCAATAACCTCATCTATGCTCATTATATAAAAATCTTTGTATGTATGTATGTATGTTTGAACGGATTTAACTTAAAATCTATGCAACAGATTTCAATGAAACTTTTTAAACATTTCTTACAACTATAGAAGTGCTATGAGGTATGTTATATTTGAATTTTTAAGTAACATTTGGAAGTGAGAGCAGCAGAGCTATCTCTGTTGCTGTTGCTGAATGCTGCCGGTCGCGCGAACAAACGCGCGAACGGACATTATTTTAACAAAATTTTAACCAACCCTAGCCGTATCACTATATGTATATAAAAAGCGACGTGTGTATGTGTGTTCCCTATGGACTCCAAAACGGCTGGAGTGATTTTGATGAAATTTCCAGGCAATCTTCAGATTAGACCAACTGGTGACCTTGTGAAGTTTGGTAGAGATCGGAAGTTTGAACGCGAACGAAGCCGCGTATACAGTACGAGATTGTTTATATTCATAAAAAATAAATACCATAGTATGAAAAATATATCATCTAATGAGTGAAATACAAATTATAATTCCGTCCATAATCAAAATCCACTATACTAAAGTGACAGTTACGTCAAATCACTATGGTACAATTCGAAGAATTACCACTTTATAACTAAACACACCAGTGACTTATAGTGCTCTTGTGATCAAAGAAATGTGGCCGCAGTATTAGCAGTCGTCCCACCGGAGTATGAGAGTGACAAGAATAGAGAGTGCACGTTGTGTCTGCGCGTACACGCGCTGCAGTATAATATCTCCTGCGCAGTTGGCTAGTCTCAATGAGATTGGCCGCCGTGGCCGGAATCGGTCAGGAGAACATCATCATCAATACGTAGTAATCTTTAAGGACCGAATAAAATCATAAATGTTTATAATTTATAAATGCTCATTAACAATATAATAAACTGGATTAATATTAAAAATAAACAATTTCTCATATATTTTAAAGTCCAAATATAAAATGATTAGTTCACTAATTAGTTATAACTTTTTTTCTTGCCAGTATATTAATTAAATTAATTAAAATATTGAATTGTTTATCAACTTTACCAATTCCAATTAAGACAAAAATATATAATTCAAAACGAGTTCTTAGTTAAATAACCTTGGGATTTCCCCGATATGCATTTCTGTTGATAGATTTTTATATATCTATAATTACTTGAGTTACTTCACTTATTTTAATAACCACATATCAGTGATAGGCCAGTGGTAACGCGGTCGCTTGGGAAACCGAGTGAAGCGAGTTCAAACCCCGGCTCTCGCACCTCTGATAATTTAATGTGCGGCTCATTTCCAACATGATTACCACGGGAAAGGACATCGTAGGAACCCTGCATGTGTGAGAGAACCTAACAAGTTTTCGAAAGACATATGAAGTCCGCCAATCCGCACTAGGCTACCGTGGTGCTAGTCCATCACGGGAGCCTGTATGTATATGTAGTATGACCTGATCTCCCTCGTATTAAAGGGACGCCCACCCCCAGCAGTGGAAAGTTAAAAAAGACTGAATACAGCCACATAACCTCAACTCGCTCAGTCACCTCCCTACATGCCTACCTTTTTTTTTTAACGTTGGGAAATGCATTTACGTACGAGGTGTGGGACTCACCGGCAAAGCCAGTACTACCCACTAAAACCCAACAAAGCCTTCCCCCGTTTTAATGGGGCGTCGCAGGATCGCTTACGCATTCAACTACGACGCCCCGACGGCAGGTCTGCCGAAGCAGACCACAACAACCACGGAGTTGCTCCAAGGTCCATTCTGCTATCAGAGAAGTACCAGGAGCAACCCGCATGGTACTCCGCCCTCCGAAGAGGGCCACCTCCCACTGTCCACCGAAGTGGGCCACCTCCCTGTGCGTTTCTTGGCTTCGCGCCCGGTTAGGTTGCCGGGCACTACTGAGCCCCCCCACCACGACAAGGTGAACACACGTTGGGGGGGCCTACATGCCTACCTGCCTAACTAGTAGTCTATGCGTTCTCAGTTTATAAATCTATCTTTTTGCTCCGAATCCATTTCACCATAAAGACATACACACAAAATGTCATAACCACCATACTTATTT